ACACCATGTATGGAGCAACAGGGAGGAGGAAGGGGAGAGTAAGGCAGTGGAGTCCAAGCTGGAAATGGAAAGAATGGGGAGGGCTAATGTATTTTAAGGAGCAGGGAGAGACAACTGAAAAGAAAAGGCCCTTCAAGAGAGAGAAAGAAAATGATAAAGGAATCTCTTTGAGATGGGCCATGCTCATTAAGCAAGCCACCTAGAACTCCCACTTGCCTATCAAGAGGGCATGTGAAGAAATGGGGGGTTAGCATGCTCAGCTTGATCCTCTTATCAGCCCTCCCATATGCTTCCCCTCCCTGTCCCATGAGTCAACTCAGAGCTATTTTCTGTTTTCTCCAAGCAATCTCAATGCCTGCCGTAGTTCGCTTTGCCTCCCTCACTGACCCCATGGCTTTGTGACCAATCAGCAAGATAATACCCCAATCAATGCAAGATGAACTCAAGCAGGTCCCAAATTCCCAGCTAACTAAAATAGCACAAGATAATAGGTAAGGAAAGGATGATAGCTTAAGTATTCTGTGTGTTTTCGTGTTAGTGTTTACTCTGACAGAAAAGAGCTTTCTCACAAATTCCTGATGCAGAGCAGACGTGGAGTTCGGACTCCTTAAAACAAATTGAATTGATCCAAGGGACAGAAAAATGGCTGTGCAGGTGACTACGTAAAATGCTTACTAGGAAGTAAATCAGCTTCTACCCATCTGGCCATTGACGCTCTCTTTTTATTGTTACTGTTTTTGTTTCTAGGTAGAAGAACGGTCAAGGCTCAACCGGCAGAGCTCACCTGCCATGCCGCACAAAGTTGCCAACAGGGTGTCTGACCCCAGCCTGCCGCCAAGGTCGGAGTCCTTCAGTATCAGTGGCGTTCAGCCTGCTCGGACCCCCCCTATGCTAAGACCGGTTGATCCGCAGGTACGTTCTCCCATTCATTCCATCGGGCGTTCCAGTAAACACTTAAACCTACTAAAAGCCCAGAAGAATGTAACATGGGTTCAGGCATAGGATCATAGGATCAAATGATGGCCCTTAATATAGAATCCATAGTAACATAAGAGGCCCCACTATAGAGGAAGGGGTAAGAAAAAAAAAAGTGCCATCCTTTACTTTGAGCCAACCACGAAGTCACCTCTTGGGATATCAGCCTCTCTGGAGACCCATAGAAGTTTCTGCAAGGTGGGAACAAATATGTATTTAGTTTTAGCTACAAAAATAAAATTTATATAGACCTTTGATATATATATATATACGCAAACAATATTATATTGTCTTTTTGTTCTTTGGGATTTGGGCATGATCCTGAAACCAGAAAAATTAAGTGGACTTGGATAAAATTGCATCTTCTAAGCCACTGGTTCTCAAAGCATGGTTGCTGAATCAGCAACGTCAGCATCACCCTGAAACTTGGCAGAAGTGCACATTCTCGGGTCCACTTCAGGCCTGTTGCTCAAACTGTGGGGATTTAACAAGCCCTCCTGGTGATTGCGATGAGTGGTAGAATTTGAGGACCACTGTTTTAAGCCATTTGAAAAAGAAAAAAAAGATTACCTCACTTTTAGAAAAAGAGGATGTTTTAGGGGACTTTAAATTATATATAGCAAAAACGAACTGAAATGAGTATGGAATTTTATGAAAAATAAAGGTAATGCAGTTGCTTTCACCCAAATGTCTTAAATTTCTTCCAAGCCTCCACCTATATTAACACTTTCACAAGATATTTTCGGGTCGCTTTTGAAATATGTCACGCTATGTGAGCGAGTGTTTAAAAGAGTAGTGCTAAAATCAAGGATTCTTGGTTTTAAGTTTGCCTTTAGCATATGAAGTCCAAGGTTTTTTGGTACCAGCCAGTTAGTCAAATCTTGCCCTTGCTTGTTTTTATCTGCATGTGATTCTTCTATGTGTGACTTTTCATAGGATGCATTTTGATAGGAACTTCTCTTTTAACACACAAACTTCCTTTTCTAAAACCCCTGACTGTAACAACATAGATGGACCTACAGGGTATTACCCTAAGTGAAATAAGTCGGGCAGAGAAAGACAAATATGGTATTGTTTCACTTATCTGTAGAATCTAAAAAAAAGGAAAAGAAAAAGCAAAACAAAACAGACTCATAGAGACAGAGACCAAAGAAATGGTTGCCGGAGGGGAGGGTGTGGGGGAATGCGTGAAAGGTGAAGGGGTATATAGTTAATAATATCGTGATAAGTTTCCATGGTAATAGATGATTACTAGAATTAGTAGGGTGATCACATTGTAAGTTATAGAGATGTCAAATCACCATATCATACATCTGAAACTAATATAACCAATATACCAACTATACCTAAAGAAACAAATAAATTAAAAAAATTTTTAAGCCCTAACTTGGACCCTTTGCTCTTTAAAAGGGGAAAATAGAAGAAAAACTTATGAAACTTTATGAAAGTGACTAGGAAACGAAAATGTAAATATCCTATGACAGTGAATTGGATTAAGTGTTCTTCAGGTGCTTGGATTTTTGTCTTTATTTCTTTGCTCTTTTAAAGTGATTTAGTGTTTTGTGCTATGTATTTTTAAAATATACTTTGTTTTAATATTATTTAATGTATTTAGTTATATTTAACATTAATATAAATTTTATTACAATTTTATTCTGGTTGAAGCATGACATTGAGCTTAACTAGACTTTGAGGATCTCCCTTGATCTAAAATTAATAACATTTCGGATTTCAGATTAAAGAGGGTCTGAAGAGGCTGGGGCAGGGCTGTTCCAGGACAAGACCTCAAGGGCAAGAGGACGGAGGCCCGGCTGCTGTAGGGGGGCTGGAGAAATGCCCCCAGCAGTCCAGGCACTGAGATTTCAGACCAAAGAGCGTCCGATAGGTTCCTTGTCCAAAACGGATACAAATAAATGTTAGTCGAATTAACAGTTAATTTTAGAAAGCATTCTAGATATTTCCGCAGCCAAGATTTATAGAACACCTTCCCCATGCCAGGCACAGTGCTAAACTCAGAAATACAATGTAGTAATATTTAATTTGAGCAGATGTGGCTCCTGTCTCCAGGGAGTTTATCTTCATGATGGAGGAGACAAGTTTATATACTAACAATGAAGTGTGAGCAGTGCAAGTAATGGTAAAGGATACTCTGAAATCTAGATTTTAATGATTTGTCTTAAAGAGCCACATCTCTACCAAAAGACTGCATGTCCTTCCTGCATGAAAAATGTCACCACATGCCAAATTGTGAGACTTACAACTCTAAAAGAAACATCCTGGTGTTAAGAAGGATATTATATCATGGGTGATAAGAGCCAGTTCACCACAAAGCAGGGTAGCCTAGCAGTTGGGCATAGGCTATGGGGGTACGTGTGGGTTCCAATCCAGGCTCCGGCACATGTTAGCTGTGAAATCTGTGATGTTGCTTAACCTCTCTGTGCGTTACATTCTCACGTGAAAAATGAGGAAAATAATTGTGTCCACCTTGTGGTGGATTTAATATGTCATAAGAAGTGAGGTATCCAGAGTAATTTTTGTTTAACCATGCAGTAGTACTCTCTAAAGTCCAGGTTAGGGGTTTTAAATAATGACATTTCTAATATTGCAAGAGAAGTACTTGAAATGTATTGCATTGCTGGTCAATAAATGTTTACTAAAAATTGTTATTGGTACTATCATCACACTTATTTCGCTGACTTCTCAGCAGTTCCAGATAAGTCATTTAACTTTTTGCCAGGATCCCTGGTTCAGTCCACATAGCTCTAAGTGGAAAATTTTGAAGAGTGTTTAGAAGCATGCGGTAGATAACGGCTCTATGTTCATGGACCCTCAACCTTGTTTTTCCTTCCACTGAGTGAGGTGCTGGATGATATGCTCTTTCTTCTAACAACTCCAATGTCGGTTTGATCCTTAGATCCCACACTTGGTAGCTGTAAAATCCCAAGGCCCTGCCTTGACCGCCTCCCAGTCAGTGCACGAGCAGCCCACCAAGGGCCTCTCGGGGTTTCAGGAGGCCCTGACCGTGACCTCTCACCGCGTCGAGATGCCGCGCCAGAACTCGGATCCCACTTCAGAAAACCCTCCTCTCCCCACTCGCATTGAGAAGTTTGACCGAAGTTCTTGGTTACGACAGGAAGAAGACATTCCACCAAAGGTAACATTACCGGGGTGTTCTTATCGTCATCACCATTATTGTTGATTATTATCACCCCAATTCCAGACCTGTCGTAATAATAGACATCATAATGCCAAAACACTGTCCCCTCTCACGTGAGTCTGTTTTGGTCACTCCTCATTCCCAACCTGTGACTTAGATTGTCGTTTATCATCTCTGACCTCCGTTTTCCCCAAAGAAACAGAGGCTCAGGTTGGTTGGATGACTTAAAAGTATATACCTCGTATCCAGAATTAGAATTCTCAACCCCAAGCATTCCAAACTATTATTTTACTATCCACATTAATAAATAGAATAATAAATATTTTCATTGGTGACTGAATCTGTATCTAGAAAAATTGAGAAACTTCCAGATAAAAAATATAAATTTATTTATTCCTATTCTTAATGATACAAAGTGAAACCAAATTTCAGGTGTTTAGAGGATAGTATTGCTCCTAGAATATTTTAGTTGGTTCCATTTAAGGAAAGCTCCTTCTAGGCCAGGTCATAATTTAATTCCAACCTTAACTAATTACTGAGGATAAAACTGTCGAGTAAAATTTAATATGTCATAAGAATAATCCTGGGTTTGGTTTCTTTTGTTTTTGCCTAAACTGAGTTGGTACTCATTCCAAAAAGTATCCTGAAATGTGGCCATGCATCTCACTGAAGACAACCTGGAAGTACTTCAAGTTACTGGAGAAATTTTTGCATCAGATTCTTTGTGGTTCAGGATTCCCCTTTCTCCTGAACTCAGTACAGGAGCTATGACAAATGGAATATCCCTCGATTTCCAGAGATTACTACCATTGATGATTCCAGGAAAAAAAAAAATACTTTTTAATTCAATGATTCTCCAGTGCTTTTCCTCACTGTTCTTCGAAAAACATATTATCACAGGCTTTTTATTATTTTGAAAATAGAAATAACCGATAATGGATTTTTTGTTGATATTTTCCCCTTGTGGAAGCAGAGATGCCATCAAAAATGTTATTTAGGGAGCAAAGTTCAATATGGAAAACAGGGTAAACAGAGGAGCAGACACAAGAGCTGGGGAAACTAAAAATGGAGATTATTGGTCCACTATCTAAAAAAATGCAGGTGTACATTTATAACTCATGGAGAAAAATTTAGATCAATACACAGGTTTCAGGTTTTAAAATTTTATTAAACTCTTCTCTACAACTATTTATGTTTACAAACAAAAAAGGAAAAATAGTAGTAGTGATATTTAATTTGAGCAGTGATATTTAATGGGAGCACTGATTTGGCCATTCTGTTTCACTTAACTGACTTATCTTTCTAGATCTTTATCTTAAAATGTATTCTGATAACCAACAAAACTTGTATGAATGTTAACATCATTTAATTTATTAACAATGTTAATAATATTAAAACAAAGCACATTTTAAAATATCTAGTACAAAACACAAAACCACTTTAAAAGAACACCCCCCCCCACACACACACACACACATACACACACTCACAAAAAAATGAATAAAAACTGAAGCACCTGACAAATGTTTAACCCAATTAGCTGTCACGGGACATCTACATTTTCATTTTCTGGTCATTTTTGTAAAATAGTTTTTCCTTCTACTCTCCCCTCATGTTAGACTCCTTTAATACACTTGCCATATTTGATTCCATTAAAAAATGTTTCATAAAATAAGGTATACTTGAATTCTACCTTAGGCCCTTGCCAGGTAAACTAATGATGCATTTCCTGCTGTATCTAACAGTCTGATTGGTACTCACATAGTCTTTTTGAAGACCCTTCTAGTATTTTCACGGTTAATTCTGTTTTATATTACATGTGCAGATTGACTTTCCAAACTATGGTGTTTTGGGGTTTGTTTTTAATTAATAATTGCAGGTTGATTAGGAAGTGGAAACGTGCAGGGTATATTGCAATAGTTTCTCTGAGCTCACTGACATGTGGCTTATGTCCGAAGTTCTAGCCTGATACTCTAGTTTCTCACCAGGTTTCATAATTTCCTTATCTGTTTGTCAGTTGTGATGTGAGCTAAAAATGGAACTTGGTTTATCTGGATGGCTCTCAGATCTGATGCAATTTCCAATGATCAGGTGAGTTTATGGTGCCCTAAAAAAATTTCTGAGTCCACCACTCTTGTACAAAAGGAAGTCAATTATTTTAACTCAATGAATGAAAATAATTAGCTTGGTCTGTTTTCAAATTTGTTTTGAAAATTCAGGATCGTACCCCTTAATGGTTGCTGAATGTGCCTCAATGTGTTTTGTTTGATTTTATTTACAGAGTCAAATAGTTTTGAGAAATGAAAGATGTTTCTTCCTTGACACATGAAAGATGTGTCTGATCATTTCTGTAACTCCTGGCAAATCTTTCTAAAGGAGTGGGCTGTTTTTCAGGCAGTAGCTTATGGAAGCTATTTTATGGACAGTATTCTGAATTCTGCTTTTTTTTCAGGTGCCTCAAAGAACAACTTCTATATCCCCAGCGTTAGCCAGAAAGAATTCTCCTGGAAATGGTAGTGCTCTGGGACCCAGACTAGGATCTCAACCCATCAGAGCAAGGTAAAGGAGAAAGATGGTTAAGGTAAAGGAAAAAGCCTGCACCTACCTCTGTCATTATCACTTTCCTAAAAGATGTCTTTGTTCTTTTTTCACTTTTTTCACTTTTTTCACTGGCCACCTGAGCTATAAGTTTTGATGGGCCAGAACACAGCCAGCCCTTTTATTACTTCAGCAGCCTTTCACAGAAATCAGTGTACAGTAAGGGTTCATGAATGAATGAATCAATGAATGATCGAGTGAATGAATGAATGAATGAAGCAACCCAGAAATCACTCAGGTGTACCTTAACTGACAGTTTTAAAAATCTGGGAGTAAAACTGTAAATATGAGTCTGATTGTAGCAAACCATTACTTCAGAGACCATTTTATGGAGTCAACAGAACAAAATCACCTGGTTTGAGGTGATTTTTAGCATTAGGTCAAGAAATGTGCCCTGAGAACTATTGAGATGTTAGAAAGGAATCGCCAAAGAAATTCAGTAAGGAGTTTCCCTAGCATGGCAAATTACAGAAGGACTAGCTCTTATGAGGAAATTCCCTCTTCGACATCATGGAGGGTCACTGAAATATAGTTATGCTTCCACTGGTGTTCTGTGCTCTCCTAGAATTCTCCGTCAATGATGTGTAATCCTACAGTCAGGAAGTTGCATCCACCTACTGGTTGGTGTAGAGGTCTCAAGAGGAGCTGGAAAGTAAACAATATCTTTACAGTATTTGAACAGATTTTATGTGGTAACAGATGCTGTTGGCTGCTATAGTTCCTCAAGCTTCCCTCAAATTTTTCATGATGAATACACTCCCTTTTAGGACCAACTGAAATAGCAAATGGGCTCTGCTGAGACTAAAAAAAGGATGAGCTTGGGCAGGCTGTTTTATTCTTCTTCCTCGTGTTCATAATAAGAGAAGGACTCTCCCTTGCTAGTAAGAGAAAAAAGAGACTGGAAATGAAGGTTATGATTATTTGTACATATCTTTAAAATATGAAATGCTTTTGATCATAAAGCTTTAATTTTCCTCTTCATGTGAAAGCCTTAGAAAGGGGTCATTCTATAAATAAGATGGAACTTTACTTAGAACATTTATCCTTTTAGGGCAAAGGAGCTAACCCATTCTGCATGGTATTACCAACTGCAGGAGCCATTTTTTTCCCAGTCACTTGTCAGATTCGTGCTGAACTGCTTTTGCTCAGCAGGGCTGAGGAAGACTAGGCTATATAGTGACCAGGAAACCAGCCTGAACTTTCTCAGTCACCTTCTTCAAGCAACTAGAAGCCCTAATTATCAGTGCTTCTTCTCCTTTAAACTCTGCCCACGAGGTTATGTTCACTGGATCGGTTGCTTAGAATTTTAGTGGCTATAGATCAAGCATCATTTCAACTTTAAGTCTTTTCCTTCCATAGACCAAAAAGAGAGAACTATTGTAATATAGTCAAATAAAAAGCAGCTCTTTGTTCCCCCCAAAGTGTTATTTTAATGACATTGGGGCCCAAGATAGTAGACATCTGATAGTCAGTGGCTTGCAAAACATGTGCTTTTCCCTCAAAACCACTGAAATTTTGTACTTTGTGCAAAGAATGAAGACTCTGTGAGACAGCTAACATTTTTGTGCTTACAGAGGTAGTAGGGAGGGAGTAAGCTAAGATGTCAACTATCTTGGGCCCTGATGTCATTAAAATAACACTTTGGGGGGAACAAAGAGCTGCTTTTTATTTGACTATATTACAATAGTTCTCTCTCTTTCTTTTCGGTTTATAGAAGGAAAGATTAAAAGTTGAAATGGTGCTTAATCTATAGCAACTAAAATTACCTGCAATGAAAGTGAGAGAGATTATGGGGAACAGGAAGGATGAAGAATCTCCATCTCTGCCACATAAAGTAAC